TGGACACTCTTATGGCACATTGAGGAGATAGAGGATCACAAGTTCTAAACTAATCGGCCATGTTTCACTTACCCTTCTGGAATGTTGCTGAGATGTGTCTCGTTGATGCGGTACCCATGTCAAAAAGCTGCCTGTGATGTCTAGAGACTCACGAACATAATCTCTTATGGGAACACCTCTAGTGATGTTCCCACCACCATGACATGGTTCATCCAGAGGTACGTCTTCCTGGGCCGACACTTCAGCAGTAGACATAACTGCATCAGATGAGGAAAAGTGTATTGCCTGCTGACGCCTAGTTCCTGTTCCAAGAGCAAAATCAGTACTGGAAACAGACATAGGCTGGTTCAGCATATATTCACGAGGACCACTTGTTGCATTCTCATTGTCTGCTGCACTGTTTAAATTTCCAAGTACCAAAGTTGGGTTTTGAGCTCTATGTCCTGCGCTCTGCACGGGATCAGTCTGAGATCGATTTTGGCTATCCCTTAGGTAACCGTCAGTATAAGAAGTTCCCTGTGCTGAAATGTCAGGGGGAAAAAGAGAAAAAAGAGAAGTGAGAAAGGAAAAGAAGATGCAAGACGATCAAAACAGATCACAGGACGAAAATGCTGCATGCTCACAGCAGTTAAGTGGACAGTATCACGACCAATCTTCATTGAACACATCTAAAACCCAAGGTGGCATTGCGGAAAATATTCCTTTATCACAGCAAGATGCCCTTGCAGATACAGGAAGACCATCAGTTGCAACTGATCGAGAATGTAATGGTTTAACCGATGAGTTTTTGGCAAGACACACCCAAGACATGTCCCTTCGTGGTAGTCTTAATAAGAGCATTGGCACAGATGTGTACCCATAACGAGTAAATTACATCAATAAAAAAGAGGGTCATCATGCTCTTTTCATCTCAACAAGGCTTAAAATTATCATTTTACGCGAAGGGACTGGGGTGAGTTTCAAGACCAACATCTTTCTGCGGTACTTGTTATCTCTCTTCAGGTGGTAAAAGATAATCGACGCCACCTTTGATGTCACAGTGTTATGCTCAGTAGGCGATGGGCAGTGCAAAACAAGGGAATTACCTTTAATGCTCCCAGGGTTTTCTGCATTCTTGTTGTATTGAAGATGAGAGGTGTGACTCAACATCTCGTACACAGATGAATTTCACTCTGTCTTACGCACGGGCCTTGTATTTTACAGGAAACTTACGAGGCATTTTTTTCTAATTTCACATAATTTGTTTGGGAATCGATTTTTAAAAACACCTCTACGTTCAAATAAGAAACCTCTGCATCTATGTTCTTCAGATGTGAGCCTTTTTTGCCAAGGTTCTAGACTCAAAATTTAAATAATGCAAGAAGGAATCCCTGGTCCAATTTAGTGACATATTTTATGGACAAAAAATCTGGATAGTAAAAGCTGTATAATTGCCCCCGCAGCAATTTTGCCCTGAGGAGGCAATCTAGTAGCTCGCGCGTGTATCAGGGAAAGTATTTACAGTTTGAATATACAGTTGGGGTATGCCACAAAAAATCTCGATCTCTTTGAACAGCGCCCGCATGGAATAGTTGGGTGATGATGACGTTTCTATTTTTCACGCCCCCAAGTAAGAGATGGTTAGGATAACGTAAAACAGAAAATCCTGAAGGGACCGCTTAGGTACATTTTGTGACATTTATTGTTGTACTGTCATACTTCGATACTGCGTTACGTGTTGTAAGTGACACTCCATGGAGCAGCTGTTTTGAAATTTATGGGCCAAAAGACACTCGTTAAGCGCAGATTTCTCTTTATTGGGGGAATAAGTCGAATAAGACTCAGTCCACAAACAACCAAGACGAGTGAATCAACGGTTAGCTTATCACTAGCAGAACGATAGGCGATTACAGAAATTAGCCGACAATTAAATTCTGTGCTTACTTATTCCCTGCTCACAGATGTCATTCTATAAAGTTTAAAAACAGACTAGACATGCGAGCGTGAATTGATCAAACCTTTGAATTTCTAAGGCTTACTTTAAATCCGGCAAATAAAAAATGAACTGTATTGAAAAATTAGTGTGGCCTGTCACTCTTACCGGGCACTTTTGATCCAAATTTAATCCTTTAACCTTTATTTTACATAACCGGTGCTTATGGTGAAACATTGTTTTGTATAATTGGCTCAAACCACACATTGACAAAAAAAATAATGATCTAAATTCAAACAGTTTAAAAAATTTCCTTTAACCAAACCGGTAATAAATTGTTTACGGTTTTTTATGCAGTGTCACGAGGGTATTTCTTGAAGACTATTATGAACACTGCGATAAAACTGAAATGGTTCCAGCCTGTGACTAATAATGTGCAATTAACGCAGTGAATTCTTAATTTTGCGCCTTAACTTCTTTTTTTCTATTTCTTTTCTCTTTTTCTCTTTGTTGTTTTGTTTTGTCTCACCAGACTGCTTCCTTGTCAGGTCAGGTCTGATCCCTGACCTGACAGATGAACTGCTTATATAAAAAAAAAACTGTCAGCCTTGATTTCTGGATTTGACGACGAGACCTTAAGACATTGTTCATTTACACAAGTATAACCTACAGTGGGATAGGGATCTACTTTTTGTTCTTTCATGGGGACTTGGTTGATGAGAAGACATTACGGCTACCTATAAAGCAAGTAACAGACTTAATATTTTGTGGGATGTAGCTGCCACATGCACACCCACCATCAGTTGAAGATAGTTCGCCACCATTCAATTCTTCCTCTTCAAATGTGAGAGGTCCTGATCGATCTAGAAGGCACTCCAGAAGACGCAGGCCAACATCTATAGAAGCACGAGACTTGTCATAGCGACGATGTATAGGATGGATGATTTCCAAATTCTGATAAAAAGGGGAAAAAGTGAACAGTAAACATCACTTGTCTTTGGCAAAGCACCCAACCTGTTTGATAGGTACAACAAAGCCCACAGTTGGTGTAAAGCTTTTATCACTGTACGATTAAAGGTACTTCAAACATGTGTTGATTGTTTTCGTTTCATTTCATGATTGTAATAGGCCTTGGAAAAGAGAAACGTTTACTTGTTACTATGGTTATAGTACATAAATCCCTCACATAATTATATGTTCCTGGTTCGTTGAAATCTTGTAGTGGACACTCTCATCATAAAAATGTACGTGCAGTAAGTACCACTCAAAAAAGCAAACTATCAGTCGTATCTCGTTTCCTGTACTAGGAAATCATATCACGTGCTACACAATTCTTACATCTTGTAGCAAACAACAACGACAAACAAGTTACGAGGGTATTGACGTCATTTCTAATGTCATCTCCGCCAATAAGCATTTCATATGAACTTTTTCGATGCAGATATTCAAATTCCAGAGCCGTAGATGCAAGCTCTCCTTCCTTTTCCCACCCCGCCGCTAGAGCGCCCCGGAGAGCTTGCTCGCAGGCTAACTAAGATACAGACCCCGGTTCCTGAAAAGCCGATTAATCTATCCTCCGATTAGCAGTTAATCCATGATTAAATTTCTTATTCCCTGGCAACTAATTGTGGGTTTAAAAGTTGTTCCTGAAAGCGAAGTTATCCCGCGATTAACTAATCTCAGATTAAGGCTAAAAAACTGGTTTAACGAGTTTTTGGACCGACGCCTGCTTCTAAAGAAAATATGGCGCGAAAAAGTGGCGACAGCGCATGGTTTCTTCTCGTCTGCCTTTGGAGATCGTCTTTTAGGATTTCTACTAGATATTTTATTGACCACTCATTCAAACCTATATCTGCTGCAAAGGTCTTCGTCTGTTAGTTGGTCAAGGTCAATTTCTCGCTGTTGGAACTTTCTTTCGCGTATTCGTGAAACAGTAAGTCCGTCATTTTGTTTGTTTTGATAAACTCCACCCCC